GGGAGAGGAGGAGGGAGGAGGGAGGAGGGCCACGCTGCGGGAGGAGGGCCGCGCAGCCAGAGGTGAGGCGGCGGGGCGGCGGTGGCGGCGGCGGCTCAGGATGGAGGCGCCGCCGCAGGAGGGCGAGGCCGAGGTCGCTGAGCAGCCGCTGACTGAGGGGAAGAGCCTGTGCATGGCCGAGGCCGAGACAGCTGAGCAGCCGCTGACTGAGGCGGAGGAGGAGGTGGCCGCCGAGGCGACGGGGCTCCAGAGCGTACAGCAGCGGCTGTGGCACCTCTTCCAGATCTCAGCTACCGCCGTGGCCCAGCTCTACAAAGATTCCGGGTGCCAACAGCCGGAACGGTCCCTGTGGGACCCCTTCCAGAACGCGGCGGTGGCCGTGACCAGCCTCTACAAAGAGAGCGGGGATGCCCACCAACGAAGTTTTGACCTGGGTGTTCAGGTGGGCTGCCAGCGTCGCGTCAGGGACGTGCTGGAATGGGCGCAGAAGGGCCAGAGCATCATTCGCCGGGAAGACCTGATTAGTTTCCTGTGTGGCAAAGGGCCGCCCTCCCCACCATCACCGCGTGCCCACAGGAGACCCCCAAAGCCGCCCGCTGAGGCTCCAGGCCAGACGGCGACCACGGAGGCCGGCTCGTCGGTGGACGTCGACCTACAGCCATTCCACGAGGCCATCGCTCTGCATGGCCTCAACGGGGCCATGGCCAGCATCAGCGTGCCATCTGGCGCCCCCGGCTCCCCTCCACATGACAACGGTGGGGCGCGCCGAAAATATAGCTTCCTGGACGACAACATAAGCCCCTTGGACTCGGAAGAAGTAGCCCTGCGCCTGGACAGTACCGGGGCCCGCAAGCGCCCCTCGACCCAGTGCAGCGATGGCCTGACAGACTCTCCGACCCACAAGCGCAACAGAATGGTCTAAGTCACCACGTCATCTGAACCGCTCTACATTGGTAAACCAACGCCATTGATGTCAACCGCCATGTTGTTTGAGAGGGAAATCGACCCTGAAGACGTTTGTCGAAAGGATACTCGAGACCATCTCTCTGCTTTCTCTCAGTTAACAGAGATTTCTATCAGTTTTGCCGAAAAGGAACTTTAAAAGTTTTCCAGAAGAGGCCTCACGTGTCTTTTTCTGATAAGTCGCATCCTAGCCGAAAACAACTATCATACAATAGTTAGCAAGAAACTTTTAAGCAGAGGTGTCCAGTCAAGGCTTAGTTTATCTTGTTCAAGTTACATTCCTTAGCACCTAGCACAGTTGCTGGCGCTCAATAAAAGTTTGCTGAATGAATAAAAGTGACACTTAAAATTCTTAAAGGGGACAAAATTCACAGTTGTTTCTTTGGTTATAAGCAGGGCTTTGAACTAGAAGTGGCTCGACCACCTGCTGAGAATTTTTGTTTCCAGCCCAGATATACCGAATCGAAATGTATACACTTTAACCAGATCTGTAGGCTCAGTAACAACCACCTAGGGATCTGGGTAAAATGTAGATTCTGATTCGGTATAGCTGGTCTGGAAATGCAAATTCTCAGCTAAAGGTTGAATTGGAATGAAATGGTTTAAACCCTGGTTATAAGATTCTTTTATCCTTTCTTGCTTGTTTGGTTGTTTTACTTTAACAGGTTTTGCTAGTTCACTTGAGTTCTATCCAAATCTAAAGACTTGGCATCTTTGTGCAATCTGAAGTCTTCCATTTTTACTCCACTGTACCAGACACCTAATTTCACAAAAGAAGCTGTACAAATAACACACATTAGAGTGTTCATTTTTATTTTGAAAAATGGTTAGTTTCAGTGATTGTGTGATGGTGTAAAAAGGTGCTATGGTAGTTGAACAGATACCCCAATTCCATGCTCTTTTAGGGAAATGAAACCAACATTTGAGATCCTGATAAAACGTACCTTCGGAGCCCCTTTTTCCTAGCAATGTAAAAATTCCGTTTGTTAAAGTCACATCTTTTTGAAGATCACTGTTCCTAAGTGGAAAACTAAGTAATTAGAAGATTCACTTGTGGATGTTATTTAAGGGAAAAGCATGGTATAAGTAAAAGAGCATGGGCTTTATATTAAAAGACTCAGTGGTAGATTTCTAGCCCCACAGTCTCAGCATGGTCTGGGGCAAGTCACACAATATCTGCTGACCTCAGTTCTGTGTTCTGTAAAATGGAACGATGTGACACCAAAGGCCCTTGTGAGGAGTAGATAAGGTTCCTATTTCAAGTGTCTATCTAGCACAGTGTTTGTCAGCTAAAGGCACTCAAATAGTTTCCCTTTATAAACAAAAATCAGTGAACCATTTAAAAGCCATTACAGTTTAGAAACAGTAACAAAGATTAATTCCAGAAATCCAAGTAAAGTCTGTGTTTGAGCTTGTGAACTTTTCCACCTCATTACTGTTTAGTCGATCCAACTCATAGCAAGCCTGTAGAGACCCTGTCTGACAGAGTCTAACGGCCCCATAGGGTTTCCTAGCTTGGAAATCTTTATTGAAGCAGATTGTCCCATATTTCTCCCACAGAGCAGATGAGTAGTTAACCACCGCACCACCAGAGCTCCTAGTGCTTGTAAGCTGTTGTTGTTGAGTGCTGTTGAGTTAATCCTACTCACAACTCAAGAAGGGGCTGGTGGGCTTGAACTGCCAACCTTGCAATATAGCAGTCCAGGTTGTATCCTACAGTGCCACACCAGGATACCAGTGCTTGTAAATTACTCTTTAAAAAAACCGAATTGAAATTTGACCGATTATCCTAGATCTTGTGTTGATTATAAGTGTGTTTCCTAAGTACACAGGATCACTACTGTGGATACTAGGGCAACCTTGGAGTCCCTGAAGTTGCCTGGGGGATGAACTTTGCAATTAGGGGTAATGAAATAGCTGCTTCCTCAGGCTTGAAATAATACAGGGAGGAGGAAGAGGGTGGAAAGAATTTGCAACTGAAGGGCCTTGAAACCTGTAAAAGGGCAAACTCCTTCTGAATAGGGGTAGGGTGGAGTGGAGGTAATGATGAGAGTTGGGCTGGAGCTTCTGTGGGTCCAGATTCTGGAGAGAGTGAGGGGTTGGGGAGAGTTCCCAGAAATTGCCCAGGGTCTTCTAAAATCACGGCACAAAGTCCTGTCCTGTCCTGTCGGTAGATTAGATCGGAGTTATTTCTGATCCATTTGTTGGAGTAGATTTGTAGTCCTAATGTGGCATTGTAGGACAAGCACTGGACCACAAGTTGGTTTGAACCACAAGGCTGGCAATTCAAACCCACCAGTTGAGCTCGAGTTGGAACCTACTCGATGGCATTTAACAACAGCGACAATGTATTAAAATCACACAGCAATAATAAAGGTGAATTCCTTGAGAAAATAAAAACATGCTACTGAGGCACTCCACAAATATTTCTGGAGACACTGCTAGATCCTGAGGAGGGATCTGGAAAATCATAACCCATCACTACTGACTGCTCAAGTCTACTCACGGCCACCTTATAAGACAGAGTAAAAACTGCCCCATCCGGTTTCCCAGACTGTAAATCTTTCCTGCTCTCCAGCAGGAAAGGATAGCTGACAACGTTTGAGAAACAGTAAAGTAGGTTCAGGGGATATAGGAGCTTGGGAGAGGAGGTAGGGTGCTGAAGTATAGGGAGTCCTTGGTGTGACGCTGTAGGTTAATGTGCCAGATTGCAAAGTCGGTTTGAACTGCAATGTTGGCAGTTCAAGCTCACCAGTTACTCTTATACAGGGTCACTATGGGTCAGAACTGACTCGAAGGCATTTAACAACAAGTGCCTGACCCAAGGGGTGATACCATCCAGTCTGTGCTTTCTTGAGGAAGGCTGGCCTGGCAGGGTTTTGTAGGCTGCTCAACAGCCTAGCAGCAAAACCTGGGAGCATGAACTGCTTGGGGTGTCCCTATAGGAGGCTTCTTAATGGAAACACTGTCAACTGGTTAACCCAGCTTCAGGAAATGATGGCGCTTTCTGTGGGAAGCTTTTTGTTCATTGCCACCTCCCCACACCTCGTTCCCATCATACAAGGTTGGAAGCGAGTCCAGTGTATGCTCTGAGATGCTTCTTGAAGGTTGAGAGAGCCATCACTTCCAGTCTTTCACATAGCTTGTCTTAAAGAAACAAAGCAGCCCTATTTTCGATGTTCTCTCTGCTTCTTGTGCTTGTGTTTCCTAGTCCAGTTGAGTCATCGGTGTTTAGGGCTACTGTACTGGGCAACACATCCCATCAAGTCACTTCTGACTCATAGTGACTCTGTACCGGGTTTCCAAACAGTGACTGGTAGCTTTGAACCGCTGACCTTTCCGTTAGCAGTCCAGTGCTTATCCTACAGTGCCACTCCAATTACGAGAGGGAGAGTTGAAAGATGACCTGTCAATATGGGGCCAGGGACCCCCTCTGTCTTGTCTCAGTTACCGCTGTAGTCCTGAGTGCCTAGCACAGTCGTGAAGGTGGAGTTGTTCCCTTCCTTCTTCCTCTGTTCACTCCACCAACTGCTCTTCAGTCAGCTTCAACTCATGATGACCGCACTTGTGTTAGAGTAGAACTGGGCTCTATAGGCCTTTCAATGGCTGATTTGTCAGAAAGAGATTGCCAGCCCTTTCTTCTGAGGTACTTCTGGCAGACACAAACCTCCAAACCTTCCAGTTACCAGACCAGCACATTAACTATTTGCACCACGTAGGGACTCCCTCTGTTTACTTACTGCCTGCCCAGGTTAGGCACCTGAAGTCCGTGCCCTAATTTCTAGATTCCCTAACTCTCTTTAGCCTCATTCCTAGCTCTTAGATTCAGTGTATTGCCAAGTATGGTCAGTCCAGGGCTTCAAATCCAGTTTAAATCCCCGCTGGAGAATTACCTTCCCACCCGAATCAACTGAATCAGAATCTACATTTTTACAAGATCCAGTATTTGGAGTCAGTGTCTTTGGAGTGGAAAGATACATTCTCAGCAAGGGGTGGGACTGGAATGAATTGGTTCAAAGCCCTGGGTGAGTCTCATGTCCACCTTTCATCAGAATCTTCTGAGGAGCTTATGAAAGAGCAACTTCCAGAACCTGTGCACTAACCGAATTAAAATCTCTAGGGGAGGGCCCAGAAGCTACCTAGGAGCAAGCTACCTCCCCTTCCCCTACCCCCCACTTCAGGAGTTAGTTGTGAGATTTGTGAGTGATTAAAGTAACTCATTTTATGTTATTTATTTTTTAAATATCTTTTTATTGTGAATTGACTGAAGGTTTACAGAACAGATCATCAGTTTTACATTCAACAAATCATATGCTTCGTTTCATCTCAATGACTGCAGTCCCCTCCATGGAACATCACTGATCCCACTTCCTGCTTGCGGTTCATATTTCCATTCCTCCTGCTTTCCCAGTCCTTCTGAATTTTGTCCTTGGGTGAATGAATGCTGCCCTTTTCATCTTGAATGGTTGACCATTATATGGTGTGCGTACCTTACCAGTGTTGTCCCCACTATATACAGTGTTTGGCTGAGCATTGAGTCATGGAAGTGACCACCAGTTCCAGACCTGAAGGATGACCAAGGTCCATAGTCTCAGGGTTTCACCAGTGTCTGTCTGACCAGTAAACCTGGTCATTTTAGTGATACTGGGTTTTGTCAAGGAACTCATTTTAAGTTGCTCTTTGTTGGTAAACTTTCTGTGCAGACTGAAAGTGAATTTCCTCATTTATAGATGATCACTGCATATTTTATACATTTCCCTTTGAGGAGTCCTGACTAAGGCCTAACTATTATTACTAAGGGAGATTTTTCTCATTTTTTCTTTGATAGGAACCTGGGAGCACACTGATTTCCTAACCTCTAGCTGAGTATTATATCCATTAGACCAGTGCTTTCTGTTCAAAATAATGGACTAATAGGGAACATTGCAGTTAGATCATTTTGTTTTTTATGAAATGATG